AAAGCCGATTAAACAAATAACTTTAAGAAAACAATCAAAGAATATCAAAGTATCATACTAGCAACTGGGTCGACACACAACACCTTCAGTATATGTTGAAAAGGATGCTGAAAACAAGTTACCAGAGCTAAGAAATAATAATTGATAAAGCGATAAACTTGAGGGTCTCAGTACCTTCTCTAACAGCTGTTTTGTAGACACTTCTTTATCAAGTCTCTCCTTGTAACTACTCTCGACTTGGCTCAAGCGAGCCTGCAGTCATGATTTGAAACTCAAGAGGTTAACATGGTAACACAATTAGAACACTATCCTCTGATTTGTTAAGGGAAACTTACCTCTAAGGCCTTAATAACACCCTCAAGTTCGCCAGCCTTTCTAGACCATTCCTCCGAACTTTCCTTGTACAGCTCAACAAGCTTGTTCGCCTATATGACAGCTTGTGGGTTAGATTGGAAAAACAACCCCTATGAAGGTCTATTTCTGAAACTGTGAAATGCCTCAAATGACATACTTAGCTCTCCAGTCAGCTAAAAAGATGAAAAGAGGTTCAATGTTTGCAAAACTCACAGTGTAAAGTTCAGCAGTGTATTGCTCTTCAGTGGTCGTTGCTGCATCTTTGCAAGAGCTGAGGTCCTTTGGATATGAAGCGAAACAAGTAAATCTCATAGTGCATAAAACGATAAGATATGAGGAGATAGGTGTTACACGCCATACATACCTCTTGTAATGAACCAATTTTTGTTTCGACCTCTCTCAATCTTTCCTTATGCCAATTTAACGAACTCGAGCATTCAATATAGTTTCTTTCAACCTGATAGAAGAAGGAATAACACTTGAGAAAAGAAAACAGAGAGAAAAGTATTAGAATAAACCGAGAATATTGGCCTTACATCTACAAGCTTTGCTGACATTTCAGATTCAAGATCAGAATGCCTTCTACGGAGTTCAGCGTAACTGTCGACTTTGGCAGTCAACTCCTCATCTAGCCATTTGGCATGCCTTTCCGTGAGTTCTTTCTCCTGTTTCCATCAGAAACCATATGTCATAAACATTGTAAAAGGATCAACATATTTTATTATATGACATTATAGAAATTCAGGTATCAATAAAACTAATCAAAGTGCACCAGTCATCAATCAACTGTAACTCATCCAAATTCTTAAGATAACACAATATTTTGGCCTATAAAAGGATAATAAGAATTACAATTGCAAAAGCAGGCAACAACCAAACATAAACACAATCAAACATATATCTTAAAATGCCTTCAATAATCTGACCTGAGATAACCGACTACACATAGCTTGAGAACGTGCCAATTCTGCGGTGGCTTCAGCTAGTCGGGCTTCCTTCTCCGAACTAGCATCCGTCAGCTTAACCTGAGAAATAGAACAAGAGTTAGGGTTACACAGTTGAAAATACATGATACGCTAACAAAAATAGGGAAGCACTCACGATTTTATCTAAGTAGCTCTTGATAGTGGAATTCTTCTCGCTAATCTCGGCATCTTTCTGCTCCAATAACTCCATCAGTTGCCTCTTAGACTTATGAAGCTCTGACATCTCCGTCGACATCCTCTCTACCACTCCATCCTTCTCAATCTGCATCAAAAAAAACCGGAAGATTCGTCAAATATTAGGGATTACCAAAAACACACTGAAAACCCCACACAAAAAGCACAAGGACGCACCGATTGCAAATGAAGATGGTGCTTCTGCGCTTGAGACTGTGCAAGCTCAGCTAAACGATCATCAAAATCAGACTGAAGCTTCGCGTTCTGAGATTCAAGGGAAGAGAAATCCTGAGATAGCGAGAGGTACTTCTGCTCGAGAAGCGAACACGTCTGCTCCGCCGTGATGGAAGCAGCGTCAGCCTTGGCACGAACACTATCCAACTCGGCGTATATCTTCCGTATGTACTCGTCGGCTCTCTCCGCAACCACCGACGCGGCGTCGCTAGATAGCCGCGCCAGCTCTTCGTCAGGCATAAACAAGGGCATTTTTTCGTGCCCTAATTTCAGAAACCAACCGTGATTATATACCTAACGTTGGATTTCTCCGACGAATTAGAGATGACGATTTGAATTTCTCCGGCGATTTTTGGAGAGAAACCCAAAACAAGGAAGATGAAAAAGCGCTTCGGGAGGTCGAAAAATTATGCAATGTCGGAGTCAGAAAACCCCAGGCGTGTTTATACGTCGCGTTAACTAAACGTCGTCGTTTATATTAGTTGGGCCGAATAGAGATATTAGGCCTCTTGTTGGGCTTAAACATATTTGATAAGGTTTTGTTTTTTTTAACTAATTGTTCTGCCGTCTTAGCTCAGTGGTAGAGCGCGTGGCTTTTAACCACGTGGCCGTGGGTTCGATCGCCACAGACGGCGTTTGGTTTTGTTTTTTTCCAATAAAGAGGCAAAACTTAATAAGCTTAAACATATCTGATTAGGTTTTGTTTTTCCATGATAATCTTTCTTATTTCCCAAACTTGTGAGAAAAGTAGTAAAGGAACCTATTGTTTCCCTAACACATATTCGTTCTTAATATTTATGTTAATTATCGGTTATTTGATGCAACAAAATGAATTCATACAAACAAGAAATCAAATTTGTTTGTGTCAAGACAAAAAAAGAAAAGAAAGAGTAGAATCCACTCACAGTCTTCACATGCCATAATGAATTTTATATTATATAATCTCGATCATAACATAAAAGAATAGAGAAAGCCTTGTAAATTGATATGAACACATGATTATGATTTAAATATATAAAACTTTTTTTTTTTTATCATAGATCAATTAACCTCCCACATGCTTTCGGTTCAGAACACCCAACTACAGCGTCGCTACCAATATTTGACTGACAAAAGCTAAAAGCATTCGTTAAGTTAACTATACACGAGATTATTATAAAAGCATGAAGGACGAACCATCTTTACTCATCAAACAAACCAAAAACAGAGAAGTTTTAAGTTTATTCATCGGAATCAAATGGTGAAGAAAGCGGTGTTGATAGGGATCAATTATCCAGGAACCGAAGGAGAGCTATTGGGCTGCATCAATGACGTCAAGCAGACGCACAAATCACTCGTCGAACTGTTCGGATTCTCGGAGGAGAACATCACTGAGCTGATTGATACCGACAAATCTAAAACCCAACCCACTGGCAAGAACATTCGACAAGCGTTGTTGGATCTTGTTGAATCAGCAAACTCCGGTGATGTTCTCTTTGTTCACTACAGTGGACACGGAGCTAGGTTGCCGCCTGAGACTGGTGAAGACGATGATACTCAGTTCGATGAGTGTATTGTTCCCTCCGATCACAACTACATCACCGGTAACTGATGAAAAAAATATTTGCCTTAATTAGCCCTATATTTACAGTATTTGGTGACTGAGTATTATTATTTTTCAAAACCAGAATATCTTTATTTTCTTGACAGTATAATTCGGAAAAGGATTTTGATATCAAATAGAAACATTTGTCTAAACCAAAACAAATCTTTAATTTATTTTTCTAAACTGTTTTTTTTCTTTAATATTTTTTAAGAACTGAAACCGGAATTGATTTGAAAAAGACTTGCATCTTTTGGAAGGCTATATAGTTTGACTAAAATCGAACATGAACCGGTTTCCTAAGAAATCTATCCATTTTTCTTATTACTATTCATCTAAAACTAGAACCAAAACCTACTATTTACATCACCGGTAAGGAAATTACCTTTGCTTTTGTGAGAATTCAACTTCAAAAGTGTTGACTTACTCATCAGGCTCATCAGGTTTTTCATCTACTTTCTTGTGTGTATAGTTGGTTCTGTTCTCAGCTGATGATATCAGAGAAATTGTGAGTAAGGTGCCCAAAGACTGCTCCTTTACATTCGTCTCCGATTCTTGTCATAGTGGTGGTCTCATCGACTCAGCCAAAAAAAGAATCCAAATGCCCTTTTGGACTATTTAGTTCCAAAGGTGTAGTAAAAGAAAAAACATCCACCAAGACTGCACAAGAAGATGGTGAAAACAGAATCAATGCCAGAAACAGATTTCTGCCATTGGAGACTTCAATCAATATGTTGAAACATGCTACAGGAAAAGATGATATCCAAGTGGGGAATATCAGGAAGACCCTTTTTGATGTGTTTGGAGATGATGCATCTCCAAAGGTGAAGAAGTTCATGAAGGTGATTCTAAGCAACTTGCATGAGAGTATTGGTGAAGGTTTGATGTTGGGACAGATTGGAAAACTAGCAACAAATTTTCTTACGGGGAAGCTGAATGATGAAGAGTTTTTGAGACCGCGATGGAGAGAGAAGTCAGGAACAAGAAAGAGGTCTATGCAGGGGCAAGAAAGAGGTCTGCTTAGTGGGTGCCAAACTGATCAATTTTTGGCAGACGTGGGCTCCAAAGAGAAAGCTTTTGGAGCATTCACTAATTCCTTACATAGACAAAGGGTAAGATCAGTTACAAAGATTTGGTTTTGAAGTCCAGGAAGTTCCTTGAGAAACAAGGATTTCCTCAACGACCAGGGCTATATTGTAGTGATGGTTACGTCAATGCTCCATTCATATGTTGAAAAGAACTTTCATGTTTGTACTTTTCTTTTAGAGCATTTGGAGTTTGGTGTTGAACAAGATTTTGTCTGATTTTTAGAGCATTTCCAAGATTCAACAAACCAATTACACGCAATAAACTCACTTTTCGGGGACGAAGTTGGTGGCAAGGGCCCATACGTTGTTTTTATATTATGTGATTTTTATCGACTTAATTCTTGACCTGCATTTGGTGGTGTTGAATAAAAAGTTCTATCGACTTGATACTCATCGCAATAGGTGATAACTGATTAGTGTTCAAGGTTTCATTTGGTTTTGCTGTATAATCACTTAAGGAACATCCATTATAGGATCACGATCAGTCGATCCTGATGATATAGTTTCACTTGGCCTTACAAATCATCATCCTTGTGTAATTTTTGCTAACTTAAAAGACTAATTATAGAAGAACCTTAAATGCATTGCTGATTAAACTAAATTTAAAAATTAATTACAAAATGTGGCTTTTAACCACGTGGCCGTGGGTTCGATTCCCACAGACGGCGTTTTGTTTTAATTAGTCCACAATGTTCACGTGCCATCACTATATGAATAGAGAAACATAAAGTTAGTCCACTAACCTAATAATGTTTGTCTTCCTTTTCCTTTTCGGGTTTGGAAGTATAAAGTATATTTTAATGTTGATCTTGATCATAAATCTCAACGAAGAATCGTTAGATCCAGTGGAAGTTTTTCTCCGACAAAGAACACTCTTGAAGATTGCAAGAATGGCGAAGAGAGCGTTGCTGATAGGAATCAACTACCCAGGCTCCACGGATGAGCTACAAGGCTGCGTCAACGACGTCCGTCGGATGCATAAGTGCCTCGTTGACCGGTTCGGATTCGCCGAGAAAGATATCACGGTGCTGATTGACACAGACAAATCTTACACTCAACCCACCGGAAAGAACATCCGTCAGGCTTTGTCGGAGCTCATAAAGCCAGCAAAGCCCGGTGACGTTTTATTCGTGCATTACAGTGGACACGGTACGAGGGTCCCGCCGGAAACAGAGGAAGAGGATGATGCAGGTTTTGATGAGTGTATTGTTCCTTCCGACTTGAATCCAATCCCTGGTAAGTAGATCAAAACTGGATTCAATAACAATTAGTATTTAATGGGATGGTTTCTTAGTTAAATGTAGAAAAACAGAGTGCTCAGAGTGCTCTGTTTTGAACAGAGTGAAAACAGAGTGCTCTGTTTAGAATCTGTTTACCCCTCTCTTTGACTCTGTTAAGTCTTAAGGCTACTTTTGAATTATTTTGATATGGACACTAAAAAGAAATAATTGGGATTGTTTTTTTATTAATTTATATCGACGACGTTGTTTTGTGTGTTGCATTGCAGATGATGATTTCAGGGATTTGGTGGAACAAGTTCCAGAGGGATGTCAGATAACGATCGTATCAGACTCTTGTCACAGCGGCGGACTCATCGATGAAGCTAAGGAACAGATCGGAGAGAGTACCAATCGAGAAACCAAAGTTTCTTCTTTTGAATTCGAGATTGGGAACTGTTTGCATAGCGTTTTTGTGAAACTGCTTGCATTTTGTGGAATCGGAAGTTCTCATGTAGAAACGCGCGAGATCCTAGAAGTAGGGGAGAGAGATGAAGTTGTCAAAGCAAGGTTTCTTCCGTTGGAGAGGTTCATCACACTTCTCAAACAACAAACTGGGCAAGACAATATCGAGATTGGGAAAATCAGACCGACCCTTTTCGATGTCTTTGGTGAAGATTCGAGCCCGAAGATAAAGAATTTCATGGAAGTGATTCTCACCAAGCTAATGAAAAGAAATGATCAAAGTACGTTACTTGGTAAGACCGAAGAAAGTGCTCGAGGGTATATAGAAGAGAAGATAAACGATGAACACTACATGAAACCCGCAATGCAGGCACAAGTGAAGAGCGATCGTGAGATTGATGGAGGAGGATCAAGCAACGGATTGTTTCCCGACCGAGGGATTCTGTTGAGTGGATGTCAAACAGATGAGACATCAGCAGATGTTAAGAAGAGTGGAGAAGCATTTGGAGCGTTTAGTAACGCTATCCAAATGGTTTTGTCGGAGACTGATCATAAAGATAAGATTACAAACAAAGAAATGGTATTGAGGGCAAGAGAGATTCTGAAGAAACAGAGGTTAATTCAGAGACCAGGATTGTATTGTAATGACCGCTTTGTGAATGCTCCATTTATATGCTAACTATGGTGTGTTGATTGATTAGAGATTCTTTTTTCACTCAAGTCTATTTTGTGGATCTAGAATCGAAAGAGAAAGATTAAGAAGACAAAGTTTAAGAATTACTCTCTTATTAAGCTTTAGAAAACTAACTCAAAAACTAAAGCACACAATATCTCTCAATCTCAAATCTCTCACAACTCTATAGGTATACCACACGCATAGGTAACTCTTATATAGAGGTTTATAGAACTTATCCTAATCAAACTATGAATTGTTTAGATAACTCCTAAACAATATTTCAAGATAAGACCTAGAGATTTAATATTATCTTCTCCTAACTTGTCGCACAAGTTATTTCGTCAAGCTTAATCCAACAATCTCCTCCTTAAGCTTGAAGCTCTTCTTCACCAAATCTTGCACTCCCATGAGCTCTCTCATTTCCTTGAATCTCATCTTCCCTAATGGCTTCGTAAGGATATCAGCCTTCTGCTCAACACCAGGAACATGCTCCACTTCAATCTCTTCATTCTCGACACACTCTCTGATGAAATGGAATCTTCTTTTTATGTGTTTGCTTCTCCCATGAAAGACAGGATTCTTTGTAAGTGAAATTGCAGACTTGTTATCAATACGGATGATAGCTTTCTTGGCTTCAGTTCCCGTAATCTCACTGAGTATGTCCCGCAACCAAATGGCTTGTTTAGCCGCTTCAGTCCCGGCCATAAACTCTGCTTCACACGAGGATAGAGCCACTACGTCTTGTTTCTGTGAACACCAAGAGATAGGGCCGTCTCCTAAGTAGAAAATATGGCCAGTTGTGCTCCTTCCATCGTCAGGATCTATACTCAAACTGCTATCACTATATCCAAAGAGTCGCGGTACTTTTACTTGTTTCTCAAAAACTAGTCCAAGCGATGTTGTCCCTTTTAAATATCTCAGACATTGTCTCATTGCAGCTCCATGTGATTCTCTAGGACTATGCATATACCTGCTCAAAACACCTACACAGTATGACAAATCAGGCCTTGTGTGGATTAAATATCGCAGACAACCTACTTTCTTCCTAAAATCCGTAGCATCAATCTCTTTCTCGTTTTCAGTTTTTGACAATTGAAGTCCGACTTCCATAGGTATATGAACCGGGTTGCAGTCTAACATTCCTGTTTCTTCTAGAATCCTTTGAGCATACCTCCTCTGACTTAGCACAACTCTACCTTCATATTGAGTCACTTCTATCCCAAGATAATAAGTTAACTTCCCAAGATCACTCATTTCAAATTTAGTAGCCATCTCCCTCTTAAATTTGTAAATGATAGACTTATCTGTTCCTGTAACAAAGAGATCGTCCACATAAATGGCGATGATAAGAGAGTGTTCTTTCTCTGTTTTTCGATAGACCGTAGGCTCCTTTGAACATTTTTTGAACTGAAGTTCTTCAAGAATTTGATTTAGCTTATTATTCCAAGCCCTTGGAGCTTGTCTCAATCCATACAACGCCTTGTTGAGTCTGTAGACCTTCTCTTCGCTCCCCTGTTTCTCGAATCCATCAGGTTGTGAGACATAGACAGTTTCTTTAAGTTCTCCGTGGAGGAATGCCGTTTTCACATCTAAGTGATGTATCTCCCACCCGTTTGCTGCTGCGAGATTTACAAGTAGCCTTATGGTTTCAATTCGTGCCACTGGAGCAAATACTTCCTCAAAATCAATCCCATATTGTTGCACATATCCCTTAGCAACAAGGCGAGCTTTATGTTTGTTAATGCTTCCGTCAGAGTTTCTCTTCAGCTTAAAAACCCATTTGAGTCCAATAGGTGTTGTTCCAATAGGTAGATCAACTAGATCCCATGTTTGGTGTTTCTCAATTGAATTGATCTCGTCTTCACAGGCGTTAAGCCATTCTTTCGATCCCTTTGCCTCCATAAAATTTTTTGGTTCATTATTCAGGCACAAAAGAAGTGTTTCTCCTTCTTCTTCAGCAAGTAGCACATAGTCCTCAAGGTACTTTGGCTTGTTGATTTGTCTCTGACTCCTTCTCTGTATTGGCACATTATTTTCTACAACTTCATCTCCTTGCTCTTGCTCTGCAATTTCGGGTAGAACTCCGTGGTTCTCTGCTTCCTCATCATCGTTTTCATCATTGTTCTCAGTTCCTGTCTGCTCTGCATCATTATTATTGGTCTCTTCTCCAGTTATGATGCCATGATTTCCAAATTCACCAAGTTTAATATTAAAGTTCCCATCTCCTTCTTGCTCAGATTGATTTTTTCTCCAATTCCATCCCTTAGACTCATCAAATATCACATCCCGACTTACAACTATTCTTCTTGTTTGTGGATCAAGTAATCTGTATGCCTTTGAGCCGGGCTCTGTTCCCAAGTGAACCAACATCCTAGATCGGTCATCTAGTTTTTTTAGAAGCTGCGAGTCAACTTTTGCATAGCTGATGCAGCCAAAAATCCGTAAATGATCGATCTGTGGTTTCTGCTTCTTAAAGACTTCGTATGGAGTCTTATCTGTTAGAGCCCTTGTAGCTACTCTATTTAACAAATACGTTGAGTGTCTCACTGCTTCTCCCCAGAGATAGTTTGGTACTCTCATGTGCTTCAAGATACTCCTTGTCATCTCCATCATAGTTCTGTTTCTGCGTTCTACCACACCATTTTGTTGTGGTGAGTATGGTGCAGTAAGATGTCTCTGAATTCCAGCATTTTTACAGTACTCATTGAACTCATGTGAAGTAAATTCACCTCCTCTATCTGTTCTAAAGGTCTTGATCTGAGCCCCTGTTTCCTTCTCAACAAGATTCTTGAAATTTTTGAATTTCTCAAATGCTGAACTCTTCTCTTTTAGTAAAGTTGTCCACATATAGCGTGAGTGATCATCAATGAGAACAAAGATAAAACGATTCCCAGCAGCTGTACTTGGTGTTATTGGACCACATAAATCTCCATGTACTAGTTCTAAGATCTTAGAGGCTCTGTATGAAGTGGCTTGCGGAAAGGTTCTTCTTGCCTGTTTCCCAAAGATACAGGAGTCGCAAATTTCTTTCTCAAACGTGACCTGTGGTAATCCTTGAACTAGCTCTCTCTGCTTCATAGATTTGATGGTCTCCAAATTTATGTGCCCAAAACGTGCATGCCAACGGCTTGACTCGCTAATGGATGACAAGTGCAAACATGCATTGTCATGAAAATCCATACACACCTTGTATAATCTATTTTTTGATCTTGGTGCTTTTGCAAGTAGTTTCCCTTTTGCATCTCTCATTGTAAGATATCCTCCCTTTAATCTAATATCACAGCCTGCTTCTGTTGCCTGTCCTAAACTGATGATGTTGCTCTTTAAATCTGGAATGTAATACACATCTGTCATGACTCTAGGTTCACCATTCATGTCAATAAGTGAGATTGACCCTTTCCCTTTTATATCGACTCGAGAGTCATCTCCAAATCTCACTTTCCCTGTGACTGATTCATCAATTTTCCCAAAGTACCTCTTGTCTCCTGTCATGTGGTTGCTTGCACCATTGTCAAGGTACCATATGTTCTCTTCTCCTGTGTTTGTCTCAAACTTGCTTGGTATGCATCGTTTTTCATTAAGAAAAACAATCTCATGCATCATGAGCTCATCGGCATCCTGAGTATTATTAGTGGCTAATTCTTGAACCTCTTGTAACTTTAAGAGACGATCAGGGCAGTCAAAGGCGAAGTGGCCTAACTTGTCACATCGGAAACACGTAATGCGTGAAGTGTCTCTTATCGTGTTTTGTCGTCCTCTTCCTCTTCCTCTGTTAAAGCGACCACCACGACCTCTGTTTGTGTATTCTCGTATGTTTTGAGTTTCTGAATTCGCATACATGAGTTTTGATTGATCTTCTGGTGCATTCTCTGCAACAACAATCCTCTCTTCGTACGTTTTAAGTCTTCCAATAATGTCTTCAAAAGTGGTGGTATTAAGGTTTAATACCTGTTCTAATGAAGCCACTATATGAATAAACTTAGGAGGCAGACTGTTAAGAAACTTCTTAACCATCTTAGATTCCTCAATCTCTACTCCAAGAGAAGCGGATTTTGAAGATATCTCTGCCATCTTTCCTGCGAACTCATCTATTTTCTCTGTATCAGTCATCTTGAGTTTGTCAAAGTTAGTCATAAGAGTTTGTAGACGTGCTTCTTTGACTCGTTCAGCTCCCACATGTCTCGACTTTATAGCATCCCAAACTTTCTTTGCAGAATCCAAATCACCTATCTGCAGAACAAGTGCCTCTGGTATTGACTGAAACAACAACGCGATAGCCGTGTTGTTCTTCTTTTTGTCTACTACTTCTCCCTCTGTTTCAGGTTCAATAGCTTCCCATACCTCATGACATCTTAGGGCAGCTTTCATCCTTAACGCCCATACGGTGTAATTTGCAGTGTTTAGCATCGGACAAACAATAGCTGTAGATCCTCCTCCTTTCTTTGGATCTACCGGAACCAGTGCATCTTCCGCCATTGCTCCCAAGAAGATCGCAACGCTCTGATACCAAATCTAGAATCGAAAGAGAAAGATTAAGAAGACAAAGTTTAAGAATTACTCTCTTATTAAGCTTTAGAAAACTAACTCAAAAACTAAAGCACACAATATCTCTCAATCTCAAATCTCTCACAACTCTATAGGTATACCACACGCATAGGTAACTCTTATATAGAGGTTTATAGAACTTATCCTAATCAAACTATGAATTGTTTAGATAACTCCTAAACAATATTTCAAGATAAGACCTAGAGATTTAATATTATCTTCTCCTAACTTGTCGCACAAGTTATTTCGTCAAGCTTAATCCAACAGTGGATTCTAGTGGAAATGGTAAAAAATGTATGTAATCTCTTCTGAAGTAATAAATGATTTATTGTTTCTTACAAAGTATGTTTATTTGGAATAGTCTCCTTCATCTACGCTAATTATTAGGATTATTATATTATGTATCCACTTGCTCTCTGTAGCCTAGCTGTCATTGATAATACCTTAATGGATTAAGTAAACTCTAATATTAAATTGAACAGTGTATTGTTTTTTCGTTATAGTGTGAACATCAGCAAGTGATGTTCAAATGTTCTTAACTTTTTTATATAGAATGGTGTTTAAATTTTTCAAAGCAAGGAAGATAATGTATTTTTGCGTTCAAAAAGTATAATTAGCTTGATAATAGAGAATATCATTTAGGCCATCTACAATGGAGCAATTGATCTTAAAGTTATTATAATAATATTATATATAATGATATTATATGAGGAGGTAAGAGAGAGACAGAGAGAAATGCTCAAGATCAGCTCAAGATCAGATCCAGCTCAAGATGAGATCTTGTTCAAATGCTCTACTGTTGGAGTTTTTTCTATTTTTTTATTACTCAAGATCACCCCAGTAGTTGTGCCACTGCAGATGGCCTTATATATACAGTATATGATATGTATATTGTATATCGAAACAAGGATAGTTGGATTTAGATATTTTGTCTTGTTAAATATATTAGATAAAAACTAGTTTGTGTGTAAGTTCCATCAACTTCTGATACAAGGAAATTAATTAAGACCTAGAGACTTAGTCCAGTTGACTTGAGATAGAAGGAATCAATAATCAAGCCATAATAATTGGCTGATTGGCGCGACAAAAGCGACGTGCTTATAACGTGAGATTGTTTGCGCTCTCAAGAAAGGGAGTAACTATAAAATAACAAGAATTGTCCTTTTCTTTATTATTTTAAATTGATTAGTTGTACAAAATTATTAAATATATTTTGGACTATTTCTTATAAGCTTATCTAAGTTTCGTACGGATTTTAGGAATAGAACTTGTTGTCTCTATGGCTCTATCTAATGTTTGTGTTCAAGTTAGGTTGTTTGACGTATGGTTATTCAAATTTATAAACGTGATTACATGGAATGCAACCAAAATTAATATAAATTATTTACATACGAAACACAATTTGTAATAAATTTAACAAATTTCCAATTACCTGGAAATTTAAAGAAGAAGATTGATAAAATCAGAGCTTATATTTTTTTCCAATATCCTCTCAAGTTTTTTTTTTTAATGTCAAACAAAAACGCGACAGAAAAAAAGTCATACAAAAAAACACTAGGTTTCATTAGTTAAATAATAAAAAGATGATTATAAAACCCATGAAGGATGAATCATCTCACGATCAGGAAAATATTGTCAAGCAGAGTTTGAAATATCAACAATGGCCAAGAAAGCTTTACTGATTGGGATCAACTACGTGGGAACCAAGGCAGAGCTACGAGGCTGCGTCAACGATGTCCGTCGGATGCGTATAACCCTCGTTGAACGGTACGGATTCTCCGAGACGAACATCAAAATGTTGATTGATACTGATAGTACTTCGATCAAACCGACCGGTAAGAACATCAGACAGGCGTTGTTGGATCTCGTTGAACCGGCTAAACCGGGTGACGTTCTCTTCGTCCATTACAGTGGACACGGGACTAGGTTACCCGCTGAAACTGGAGAAGACGATGATACTGGTTACGATGAGTGTATTGTTCCTTCCGATATGAATCTCATCACCGGTTAGTGAAAACATAAACTAAAGTTGACTTTTAATTTTTCCTGTTTACGTAACAATTTGAACTTTTCCTTTACCAGTAGTTATGTTACCACAAAACCGGAAATTCGTGTTGAAAACTAGTGGATTATGTGGAAACTTTTGGGGTTATTGTGCTTGCATGTGTGTCAAAGTTTTGAATTAAGATGCTATAGATAACATTTGCGTGTATCCTGAGATATACTGAGAGAGATTTTGCTACCCTGATTATTAATCTTTTAAGATGACTCTGTTTTACAGATGATGATTTCAGGGATCTTGTAGAGATGGTGCCAAAGGATTGTCCCATTACAATAATCTCTGACTCTTGTCACAGTGGTGGTCTCATAGATGAAGCCAAAGAGCAGATAGGAGAGAGCACGAAGAAGAAGAAAGACTATGGAGACTCTTCAGCGATCAACAAGGAGACAGAAGCAGAGATAATTGAAGTGGGAAAAAGGTCTCTGCCATTGGATACTTTGATTGATATGCTGAAGCAAGAGACGGGCAACGATGATATCGAAGTGGGGAAAATCAGGACAACCCTTTTCGATATGTTTGGAGAAGATTCAAGTCCAAAGGTGAAGAAGTTCATGAATGTGATTCTAAGCAACCTACAAGAGACGACTACTGCAATTGAGAGTTTAGCTCAAGAGTTTCTTGAGCAGAAGCTTAACGACGATGTGAAACCCACGATCCAAGAGGTGTATGCAGGTGCTATCAATGGTGCACTTCCTGATAACGGTATACTGATCAGTGGTTGCCAAACTGATCAAACTTCTGCAGACGCAAGCCCACCGGGTCACCCGGAATTGGCTTATGGAGCACTAACCAATGCTATACAGATTATAATTGGGGAAACTAAAGGTAAGATTAGTAACAAAGATCTTGTTTTGAAGGCTAGGAAGCTTCTTAAGAAACAGGGCTTTGATCAACGACCGGGACTGTATTGCAATGATACTTATGTCAATGCTCAGTTTATATGTTGATTAATTTGGGAGGTTTTTGTTGTTTGTTGATTTGGTTCGTGTGGAATAAGTTTTATAATTTGTGTGTTGTTGTAACCTTGATTTGAATATTTATATCCCAAGTGCTGTTTGTTTGTTCATTGCATGGTTTAAAATTTTAATTCTTGCTCATACATTTTTTAAAATCGTGGTAAAATTAATCAATGGTTTATCCCTATATTAATGTACTTACCTTACGGTACAAGAAACAAAACCGTTATTTTCCATAATAATATTTTGATATGGAACTGATTTGTAAAAAGCGACGTGCTAAGCGCCTAAGCATGCGAATGCGATGATATATGATTTGATAATATGTAATTGAGGCATTGAGCAATTATTGATTACAACGTGGGATTATGTGTGCCATCAGGAGAGGCTATAAACAATAGCAAAATTGTTAAAAATACCTCTTTTGGTGTGTCCCTTTTCAAAAATGCTCCTTTTAGATTCTATTTTCAAAAATGCCCCTTTTTAAATCTGAAATTTTTATAAAGTTTTATTAGGTTTATAAGGTACTTATGGATTGTAACTACTACTTGAAAACTCGATCCAAGTATTTATAAGGTTTTATAAGGTGTTTTTAAAGGTTTTACAAGTTATTTTAAAAGATTTTTAAGGTTTTTCAAAGGTTTTACAAGATATTTTAAAGGTTTTTAAAGGTATTTAAAATGCATTTATAAGGTATTTATAAAGTATTTATAAGATTTTAGATACATAGAAATGTAGTTTGTGTATGTTTTAATAATATTATATACATATTTGGGTAAATCTTATATTTTTAAGAGCATTTTTTATAAGGTTTTTAAAAAGAGGTATCTTTGAAAAGTGGCATTGAAAAAGTGGCATTTTTGCAAAAGCCCCTAAACAATAACAAGCGACATTAGAGTAATTATTTGGTATGAAGATACGTAAGATTCTTTTCATTCTATTTCTTCACAATCTAAACTTGTACGTTTTAGCTTTGGTTGGAAAATTGGACAAGCCATAGACGTTTTCTTATTTTCTAAACGGCTAGAGTTTTTAATATTTGAATTAGAATATAATTTCATCCTAATTTTAATATAATTATTTTATCCAAGAATTTTTTTTATGTAATTGACTACAGTTAGATAAAAATGTATTCAAAGTTTCCAACAGATATATATGGAATGGAAGTTATGACTAAATAAACATATATTTATTATTACAGTTTTGTTATTAATTAGAGACTTTTAAAAAAAAAATTGTTGGCAACCTTATTAAGGCTTCTTTATTTTAATAGTAATAAACATTATAGTATAAAAGCATGAAGACCGAAATGTAACAGCTCACGATCAAAATAAAAAATTTGTAACTTAGACCTTTTGAGATATCTTTAATGGCGAAGAAAGCTGTGTTGATTGGAATCAATTACCCTGGGACCAAGGCGGAGCTACGGGGCTGCGTCAACGATGTCCGGAGGGTGCACAAATGTCTCGTCGATCGGTTTGGATTCTCCGAGAGAAACATCACTGAGCTGATTGACACTGACGACTCTTCCACCAAACCTACAGGGAAGAATATTCGAAGGGCGTTGTTGAATCTAGTTGAGTCTGCTAAATCCGGCGATGTTCTTGTCGTCCATTACAGTGGACACGGGACGAGGTTGCCGGCGGAGACTGGAGAAGACGATGATACTGGATATGATGAGTGTATTGTTCCTTGTGATATGAATCTTATCACCGGTAAGTCGTAATTAATTTTGACATTGACTTTTTTGACCTTTGTCCTGTTTTTTGGTTAGATGTTCAACTTTTTGTTTATCAGTGTAGAGGTTTTTAACCTCTCTACACCTCAAAGCTTCATGCTTTGTCATCATGAACACACATACACAAATAAAGCATTTAATGGAGAAGAAGAAGAAGAGAATAAACATAGCAAGAGAAGGAAGAAGAGGAGCACACAAAGGATTTGTTAACCCGGTTCACGGCATTAATTAACGAGCCACTACGTCCGGTTAGGATCGATAGATCCTCAACTCCACTATGAAGAAGAAGGTGTTTACAAATGATACAAGTGATTATCTAAAGCTCTTAACTAGCTAAGATTCACTGTCTCTCATCATTTGACTTCTTAAGAAACTACCCAAAGCTTACACTTTCTTGTTTCTAAAACCCCCTTTCATTCTCTCTCCATAGATCTACATTGTGCTCTGCTCTCACACTTCTTCACCTCTATCTCATGTCTTCATATATGAGAGAAAACTTCAAACCTAGTGTAGCCACCAAAACCCCAAAAGACCCTTCTCTTTACACGCTTTGGATTTTCCCACAAACGCTCCTTTAGTTTGAATTCACATAGAGACAAATTGTCCTTCCTTGGCCAGCTCCTTGTGCTCCTAGAAATGTTTAACTTGACCAGAGATGATTCACATTTAACTCTAGTTAACATCTCTGTTTTTACCTTGTTTACTTGAGCATAAGGTTCTCATTTGTACAATCAGTTTGATCGAAATTATATATTGAAAATTGTTAGATTCAGGGGAATTATGTTTTCATCCATTTGGTCAAAATCAATTAACCTTACTCATTGATTGTTTCTTCATTTCAAGAAGATTTTTTTGCTTTCATATATTGTTTCAAATTCACTCTTTTTCATATATTCTCAGATGATGAGTTCAGAGATCTTGTGGACAAGGTACCAAAGGAAGCACACATTACAATCATCTCAGACTCTTGTCACAGTGGTGGTCTCATCGATGAAGCTAAAGAACAGATAGGAGAGAGCACGAAGAAGAAGCCAAAGAAAAAATCTGAAGGCTCTTCAGGACTTGGAATCAAAGGCTTTGCGCGTGAAGCTGTGGAAGAAGCATTGGAAACTCGAGTGATCCACATTCCTCACCACAAAGATGAGAAAGAAAAAAACAAGACTAAAGAGATTGAACTAGAAGATGGTGCAAAAGTCCATGTCGTAAACAAATCTCTGCCTCTACAAACTCTAATCGATATCCTCAAGCAAAAAACAGGTAACGATAAAATCAAAGTAGGGGAAATCAGACCAACCCTTTTCAATGTGTTTGGAGACGATGCATCCCCAAAGGTTAAGAAGTTCATGAAAGTGATTCTAACAAAGATGCAAGAAGGTAAAACTGAAGGTGGGGTATTGGGAATGTTTGGGAAACTAGCTCAAGAGTTTCTTGAGCATAAACTAAACGATGATGAAGAGTATGTGAAACCCGCGATGCAGACACATGTTGGGAACAAGCAAGAGGTCTATGCAGGTGCGAGCAATGGTTCTCTTGCGGATAATGGTGTTTTGATTAGTGGTTGCCAAACAGATCAAACTTCTGCAGACGCGAGTCCTCAAGGTCATCCTGAAATGGCTTATGGAGCCTTCACCAATGTTGTGCAGATCATACTCGAGGAGACAAAGGGTAAGATTACATACAAAGAACTTGTTTGAAGGCAAGGAAGCTTCTTAAGAAACAGGGCTTCTCTCAACGACCAGGACTATATTGCAATGATAGCTTTGTGAATGCTCCGTTTATTTGTTAAGGATTGTATTTTGGTTCAAAAACATTCTTGTTGAATAAGTTATGTGATTTGTTTGTTTATGTTGTTTCAGTTTGTTTTCAATTGTGTTTAAAATTTCACACTTAAAGTAGTTTGAAAAAGAAAACATTTTATTTATTCAAAAAATTGATTGTAATTAACATAGTTTTAGACTTTTAGTTTAAGTTGTTAATTTTTTTTACCTTAATTTATTTTAAATTTTAATGAAATTAAAAGAATATTAGTGAATTAAACTAATTTTTTTAAAAAAATAGTGAAATTAAAATGGTTTTAGTTAAAAACATTATTTTCTTAAAGTTTAAGTGTTAAATTTGTTTTCAATTTTAGTGAAATTAAAAGAATTTTAGTTAAAATCATTATTATTTTTTCAAAAATTAGTGTAAATGTTAAATCTATATTACGTGAAAACTTGTTGAACTTCAAACATCAAAACTTATGAACCAACTAAGAACAAGATGCCTAGCCTCGATTAGTTTTCAATGTGTTTAAAATTTAACACTTAAACTTTTTAAAAAGTTTAAGTGAAATTAACATTGTTTTAGTTAAAAACATTATTTTCTTAAAGTTTAAGTGTTAAATTTGTCTTAAATTTTAGTAAAACTCACTATTATTTTTTTTTAAATGAGTTTAACTGTTAAATCTATATTACGTGAAAACATGTCAAACTTCGAACACCAAAGCTTATAGACCAACTAAGGACATGATACATACTATACATAGACTCGATTAATTTTTGACATGTTTCAAATTTTACAATTAAAACTAATTTTTCAAAAGTTTTAGAGAAATTCACATGATTTTAGTTAAAAACATTATTTTCTTAAAGTTTCAGTGTTAAATTTATTTTAAATTTTAGTCAAAATCACTATTATTTTTTAAAAATTAGTTCAAGTGTTAAATCTATATTACGTGAAAACATGCCGAACTTCGAACACCAAACCTTACGGACCAACTAAGGACAGGATGCCTAGGCGCAGTTAGTTTTCGATTTTTTAAAAATTTAACACTTAAACTAATTTTAAAAAATAATAGTGGAATTTAACATAGTGAACATGGTTTTAGTTAAAAATATTACTTTCTTAAAGTTTAAGTGTTATATTTTTAAAAAATTTTAGTTAAAATCACTATTATTTTTTAAAATGAGTTTAAATGTTAAATCTATATAACGTGAAAACATGCCGAACTATGAACACCAAAGCTTAAGGACCAACTAAGGACGGGATACATAGGCGCGGTTAGTTTTCGACGTGTGTAAAATTTAATACTTAAACTAATTTTAAAAAAACTTTAGTGAAATTAAAGTGATTTTAGTTAAAAACATTATTTTCTTAAAGTGTTCAAAAGTTTTAAATTTTTAAGTCAAAATCACTATTATTTTTAAAATTAAGTTTAAGTGTTAAATCTATATAACGTGAAAACATGCCGAACTTCGAACACCAAAGCTTACGGACCAACTAAGGACGGGATGCCTAGGCGCGGTTAGTTTTCGACGTGTGTAAAATTTAACACATAAACTAAACTTTTAAAAGTTTTAGTGAAATTAACATGATTTTAGTTAAAAAAATATCAATTGCTTAAAGTTTAATTTTACTTAAAATAATTTTTAGTGAAACATTAGTTTTACTTAAAATAATTTTTTAAAAAAAAAGAGAAAAAAAGAATGAATAAAGTAGTACCATGTTGGATTTGGTAGCCCATACAAAAAGCCCATTCGAAATGTGAGCCCACCGTGTAGTTGTGTCGTTGATGACATCCCAATCCACCGCCTGAAAAGTTGATCTTCTTCACTCTCATCTCTTCGTCCATCTCCAGAACCCTACGTAGGTCTCTGCGGAATCTCAATTTGGCTCGCAAATTCTCCTTCTCCATCGAGACAATCAAAACCTTCTTAGGTGATCCTCGCTTTCACTGCCCCCGATCTCTTCTTATCTTCCTTCTCCGCCGGTAAATCATCCTCGATTGGGTCAAGACAGAGAGGATGTGGGAGAAGTTATTCAATCAGTCACGAATCTGAGATGATGAACTCGAAATCACTGTTTACTTCAATGTCGAGTCTTATATGGATCATCATCGGCGATCAGGTATTGAAAAGAGAAATAGAAGAGAAAGATGATTGATTGATTTTTTTTGTTTTTCGTTTCTCGGAGAAGAAAAAGAAGAAGAAGGTGAATAGAGAGAATTTGAAGAGAATGAGAATGCGTGAGACTGTATTTATAAGCAAAGAAGGAGCCTTGGTTTATTTCCTTTTTTTCTTAAGAGTATCTTTGCTTCATTAAATGATGATTTGATATACTTTTTTTATTAATTTAACCGTTGGGGTTTTTAGTATTTGTAACAAAAAGAGATCCTATATTTTTGTTTGATATTATAGAGAAAAACTAAATTAGATCCGATTTCCATTTACTAATAATCTCAATCTAACTAAAAAGGAAATTTCGTTTTGGTTGTTTCCTCTTCTTCGATGACTTTGTTTTTTTTTTTTTTTCCTTTTCTGATATATTACGTTTGCAAAGAATCATTTCTTTTGCTCACAAGATTTATATCAAAAAGGTACTAAAGAGAGAACATGAATGATGATCGGTTTAATGAGTTGAAGAATTTCAACTCCATTGCCTGAGGCGATGATAAAGAGATGTTTTTTTTTTTTTTTGTCATCCGAATTAAATATAACATGATAAAGAGATGTTTATCTAAGAAGAATCAGATCGATCTGAGATGGTCCAAGGTGTGTTAAATAAACGGCGCCGTTTATAAGTTGGGCCGAAACTAGGCCTCTTGTTGGGCTTATACCTGATTAGTTTCTGTGAGTCTGTGACTAGTCGTCGTGTAATAACGTGACAAGAAAAAAATCAAACAAATTCAATGCCACGTCAGATCATCATCATACATTCCAATTCGTGGAAACGCGTCAATGAATGATAATCTTAGCCAAAAGTAAAATATAAATTTATGATCGATCTCAAACTTTTTGTCGGAATAAGAAGCTATTGGATCGCTGACAGATAACCCGATCAGATTCAGAGTTTTGTCTATCAGATCTTTTTGTCAATGGCGAAAAAGGCGGTGCTTATTGGGATCAATTACCCAGGAACCAAGGCGGAGTTACGGGGATGCGTCAACGATGTTCGTCGTATGTACAAATGTCTCGTCGAACGGTACGGCTTCTCCGAGGAGAACATCACCGTTCTCATCGACACCGATGAATCCTCTACTCAGCCCACTGGCAAGAACATCCGCCGGGCGCTTGCTGATCTCGTCGGATCTGCGGAATCCGGCGACGTTCTTGTCGTTCATTACAGTGGACACGGTACGAGGTTGCCGGCTGAGACTGGGGAAGACGATGACACTGGTTTCGACGAGTGTATTGTTCCTTGCGACATGAATCTGATTACTGGTCAGTTTAAACAAACGGAGACTTTTTCAACTTTATCTCTCTTTTTTTCTCTTGTGATTGATTTGACGTTCTGCTCTCCGATCCGATGATAAAAAGTTTGGATTTTTGTACAATTTTTAATATTGTCTTTGTTTTTGTGATGGATTTGAGAAATAAAGTAGGATCAAACGAAATTAAGGAATCTTTAAGCGAGTATATTCTTGGTATCTGACTTTGGAATTTGTCCATGGAGCTTTGCTGATGTAATTTTGTTGTTTCCAGATGATGATTTCAGAGATCTTGTGGACAAAGTTCCTCAAGGTTGCAGAATGACAATCATTTCAGACTCTTGTCACAGTGGTGGCCTTATCGATGAAGCCAAGGAGCAGATTGGAGAGAGCACTAAGAAAGAGGCCGAGGACGAAGATGAATCCGAAGAATCTTCTTCAAGATTCGGGTTTAGGAAGTTCTTGCGCAGCAAAGTGGAAGGCGCCATCGAGTCTCGAGGGTTTCACATTGGAGGGGACAAGAAGGATGAAGATGAGGCGGAAGAAATCGAGACTAAGGAGATTGAGCTGGAAGACGGAGAAAGGATCCATGCCAAAGACAAATCTCTTCCTCTGCAGACCTTGATTGACATCCTCAAGCAGCAAACAGGGAACGATAATATCGAAGTTGGGAAAATCAGGCCAAGCCTTTTTGATGCGTTTGGTGATGATTCGAGCCCGAAAGTGAAGAAGTTCATGAAAGTGATCTTAGGTAAGCTTCAAGCAGGAAATGGAGAAGAAGGTGGATTAATGGGAATGCTTGGGAAATTGGCTTCAGGGTTTCTTGAGGGTAAACTAAACGATGAAGACTATGTGAAACCCGCGATGCAGACACACGTTGGGAGTAAAGAAGAGGTTTATGCTGGTGGATCCAGAGGCTCGGTTCCGCTTCCAGACAGCGGGATACTGATCAGCGGTTGCCAAACCGATCAGACCTCTGCGGATGCGACTCCAGCGGGTAAACCAACTGAGGCTTATGGAGCGATGAGCAATTCGATACAGAAGATATTGGAGGAGACAGACGGTGAGATATCAAACAGAGAAATGGTTACGAGGGCAAGGAAAGCATTGAAGAAGCAAGGGTTTACTCAGCAGCCAGGTTTGTATTGCCATGATGGTTATGCAAATGCACCTTTCATATGTTGAAAACAGAGGTTTTATTGAATGCTTGTTACAACGACCCGTTGATTGATTGAAGTTTCTTGTTGGAAAATAAGCCTGTTTTTTTTTTTTGTTGTTTCATGGCATTTATGTAATTTACAAGTTATGTGTGTTGTGTTCTTTGAAACACTAAAAATTCTTCTTGTTTTTTTGAGAATTATTATGTGGGTTGTGAAATTCTTTTTTGTTAATTCTTTTCTTGTTAATTCTGCACATCTATAAGAAAACGTTTTAACGAACGTAAGAATGAATCTTGTTAGATAAATAATATTACATCTATGTATCTTCTTGCCAATTTGTCATGTGATATACACAAAAATGAAAGTCAAGTGTCTTTTTCCTCTCTTTTTAAATAAAGAAAAATACAAATAGGCATGGGAACTTGGTTGTGGAGCTTTGAGGGTGTATGCTTCTTATAAATAATCGTTGTCTTAATCATCGATCTCTTGAACCCATGCTAAATCTGCGGAAACAAAAAGACACAAATCAATGATTGTCAAAATAACACCATTCTGTATTCTTGTCGGATTTCTCATATGATGTCCCAAGATCAGAATACATGAGAAAAGCTCGCAATACCTTGTAAAACAGTTTCTACAGCTGCATTAGGGATGGAGAGGCCCACTATCCGCTGATTATCCGTCGTAGTCTCTATGCGTATAACTCGAATTCTCTTGTGGCTGTGGCGGGCCTGCAAAAGATCCAAATACAGATAAGTTTCCATGCCAACACTAAGAGAGAGTCTCAGAAATTCTTGGAATGGTCTTTGTTACTTGTTTGGAGAGAGCTTTCTCAATGGTTCCCCAAATGGGAAGAATGAGGCCACCCACAACGTTTACTTCCTGTATTCTACGTCCAACCGTGCAATACTCGCCTAGCTTACACTTGGGTCCATGCATACACTGTACTCAGATAGAAACTCATTCAATGCACAATGCTATATCAATGGTTATAACTTATGAGCCTAGAGGCGATGATTCTGTGCTAATCTATTTTTCTGCTTCGGTTCTATGTACTCTGAACTTTATTTTTGGTTGGGGAAGCATACCTGTTTTGATGAAACTTCGTACTCGTCCTCCCAACCAGTACGAGCCTTCTCCAGAGATGAGAGTTTTCGGTATTTAGTTTTCAACTCTGAAAGAGACATCTCCCTGGAAAAAATAAACAATAGTTAAGACCAGTTTTTCTAGTCAGAAAAATGAAATGTAAAAGTTCTGCCAATGGTGTAGATACCTGATCGACTCTCCTACAGCAGGACGGACAATCTTAAACAACCCAGAAGCCGCACTGGAAATCCAAGACAAATCCAGCAATGAGATTTTGATAAGTGTAATTAATATTTTAATATTTGTTTGTTTAAAGGACCGCATTATCCAAAGATTTGCTAGGATAATGATTTACCTCTCAAATGCTAATATGAAGTGCCTTCTTCCTAACCATTCTCTTTTAGATTCAAAAAAGCCATCATTAGCTGAACCAAGGCCGTCCCTTCTCTTTCCCTCTAGCATTGAACTCGCAGACTGGGACACGGATCAAATCAAGATTTGATTGTAGTGAAATACGACTAATTTTACCAAGAGTGAAAGATAGTACCTCCCATGTTACACCACGATCTAGAGTAAAAGTAAAGAGCATAGTTGAGGCACCAGACATTTGATCAACATGGACGGTCTGAAAAATTCAAATATTAGTAGCACAAATACACTAAGAACCAATAATCAAGTAAGACATATCATCAACCTTTGGAGTGCTCAGCAGCTCAACACTATTAGCTTTCATATCCACAATTCCTGAGTCAAAACTTCCTTCGATCCGAGCATTATGTACAAGAACGTCTAATATACTAGTAAACAATTCAAACAGCCTGTACAGCACAAGAATAGAAAGCATTAATTCAAACAGAAGTTGCTTTTAAAAGGAAAGGTAAGTTACATAGTGCAATTTCCAATTGACGCATAATACCTATTCTGGATATCAGGTGGCAATCCCAAGAGGCGATTCAAAAATCGTCCAACATCATGCATGTCAGAATCAATAATACGTCCTGAAAACTTTCCAACATCTTTCCCATTGGCTGTATCATTAATGAAGAAAAGTAAATAGGAGATTACTACAAATAGAATTTAAAATCTGTACAGAAAAATGAAATTACGAGCAAAGCTTACCCAGAACACTGTCCCTAACAATTCCAACCGCAACAAGAGCAGCCCTTGCCTTGGTCAAAAACTCTTTAACTGTTTCGGGTTCATCAATCGAGCATCCAGGAGGAACAACAGGTAGT